TTAATTGTGTCTTACCTCATTGTTTTGAAACCGTTCTCGACTTCTTTTGCAGGTGTCAGTTTCATTAATACTAATAAGCTCTCCATCTGGAGGCCCAAACGGTGCGTTAAAAACCACGACGTCACTCTTCAGTGTGTCTGAACTGAAACACACGTCATATTGCTGTGTTGCTTTAGAGTACGACCAGCTGCCGTCAGGGTGCGCAGTGATCATTGGAGGGCTGTATCCGTCGAAAGTTTTGTCTGTTCTGTGGCATTTTAGCACTATTAAACTAAGGAGAGCTAGTAAAAATATAACAGATACTAAAACAGTGGCGATGAGCAAATACATATTTAAATCAGAAAAGCTCTCCTCGTTCTTAGGTAAATGTCGCAATTCTGACTGCATGTCAGACGTGTTCTCAAGTACTAATACGTCAAGGGAAACGGTGGCAGAGAGGGAAGGTTCTCCATGATCTGATATCAAAATCAATATTGAATGTGTTTTTATGTCATTTTCATTCAAACGCCGCCTTGTTTTTATTTCCCCTGTACTGGTACCGATTCTGAAGAGATCTGTCCTTTTCGGTTCAAGGATGTGATAAGAAAGTAGCGCATTGTACCCAGAGTCGGCGTCTACAGCCCTTATCTTGGCCACGAAATAACCGGCTTCAGCAGAGAGCGGAATGTTCTCGGTATTAACGGGGCCGTGATCAGAATAAGGAGGGAGAACCCCAGGACTGTTGTCGTTTTCATCAAGAATGTAGACGTTCACGGTCACATTGCTGCTTAGTGGAGGGACACCAGAGTCAATGGCTTGAACTTGGAATTGAAATGATTTTACGTTCTCGTGATCGAAACTCTGCATGCTGTATATATCGCCGCTCACGGAGTTCACGTTGAATACAGTGGAAACGGGGACTCCCTTGCTAGGACTCTCCAACATTGCATAAGTCAGTTGTGCGTTTTCGTTTAAGTCCGGGTCAAACGCGGACACGGTGTATATAACAGCTCCTGGTGGACTGTTTTCCTTCACGTACACTTCAAGAACAGGCGCTAGAAAGACAGGGGGGTTGTCGTTTACATCAGCAACGTGTACAGCAACAACGCTGCTGCTGGACAGAGACGGCGTCCCATCGTCTCTAGCTATAATTGTAACATTATACAAAGCAATGGTCTCTCGGTCCAGCTTTCCAGCAACCACTAAAGAATAATAATTCTTATAGGATGATTGCAGTTTAAAAGGAACGTCGCCAAGGATTTGACAATGAACATTACCGTTTTTGCCACCATCTTTATCCAATACTGTGATAAGCGCGACTGTGGTGCCTACAGCAGCGTCTTCTTTGACAGTACCTGAAAGTGATGTTATCGCTATTTCTGGGGCATTGTCATTCACATCCACGACTTCAACCAGCAGCTTGCAATGTGTGGCGAAAGGCGTTTGGCCTCTGTCTTGTGCCTGGACTCTAATTTCAAAAGCACTGTTTTCTTCATAATCGATATTCCCCTTGACTGTTACTTCACCCGAACTGGGATTTATGTCAAAAACATCTAGTACATGTCCATAACCATGGTATATAAAGGAATACACGATTTCACTGTTTAAACCTTCATCTAAGTCCGTTGCATTGAGTGTTATTAATGAAGTCCCCTTTGGTACATTTTCAAGTACACGGATTTTATAAAAAGCGCTACTGAAGACAGGGCTGTTGTCGTTATTGTCTAAGACGGTCACAGTTATCTGCAGGGTTCCTGATAGAGGTGGTTTCCCTCCATCAAAAGCAGTCAGTATGAGGTTTATAACAGGCTGTTTCTCTCGGTCTAAAGCTTTCTGCAGCACTAGCTCAGACGACACGCTCTGTTCCGTAAGGCCCTGTACTTCAAGGGAAAAGTGTTCATTTGGACTGAGCTTGTATGTTTTTACAGAGTTGCTGCCAATATCCGCATCATTAGCACTCGGTAAAGGAAATTTGAGTCCTGCAAAAGAGGACTCTGCTATACTTAAATTCAATGATTTTGTGGGAAATTCAGGTGAATTATCATTAATGTCTAGTATATTCACTTCAACTCGATAAAGATTCATCGGTAGGTTAACTACAGCCTCTAGATTCATAGAGCATGTTATAGTATTAGAGCAGAGCTCCTCTCTGTCGATCCTATCATTTACGTAGAGAATGCCAGTTTTCAGATTTACCTCAAAATATTTTTTCTTTGATCCGGAAACAATATGAAACATTCGTGACTCCAGGTCTTCTCTATTAAGATTCAAATCCTTTGCTATATTCCCAACAAAGGTCCCTTGTTTTACCTCCTCCGAAATGGAATAAGATATTTGTCCACAAACCAAATCCCAACAGCAGATCAGCAGCTGAAAATGTATCCACAAAGGTTTTCTTAGGTGCCATGAATTCATTGTTGCGAGGTAACGTATTCATTTATATAATCCAATGACATCTAGCAATAGATATTTTTAACAACAGTAAGTAAATTACATAAAAAGAACAAAACCAAAGCGCTGAAAAGCAGTCTTCTGTGCCGCATACACTCAATGTACTGTAACAAAGCCTGCTCTCTCCGCGAGTTCTCTTACAAGCAAGGAGGAGCCCAGGAAAAAGCTGATTTCCATATTTCACTTTTGATGGTCAACAGCGACACCGTGTGATTAAGCACAGAGTTCAAAGAAAGTTACAGGACACCTTGGACATTTATATTCTCACGGTAAACCGTCTCATAAAACATACATGTTTTAAATATGTGGTATACGTCATCAGCATGTAAAGACAGTCCAATGTTTTCATAGACATCAAGTATCTGTGTCAACTGCCTTATCAGGCTTTAGCACGAAACAAGTCAGGTCAAAACCATACAGTACATACAGCTTGGTGTACAATCAACTAATTTCAAAAAGTACCTACGCAATAAATGTACTAGGTTTTGCAAAAAAAAATGTTTTGGGTGAACGTAAAACGATAAGGCACGAATTATTTTTTGTCGCTGTAATTCACGAAGCTAGTGGCATCGGCACTTGATTATAAGCCATTTTTAAAATGCTTTACAATGTGCTTTAAATGCAGTACCACTTAAAGGTAAGTTTATGTCGTTCTAAAATTCTTAAACATATTCTGAGCAACAAGACACTACTTCATTTCTATCTTTTAAAGCACAATAAAACACTTTACGATTAAAAAATACATTCCTTCAGGGTAGTCAGCATTTAATTACTTCAGCATCAATTCAATCAGAAACGTTCAGCCTTGCACAAAGTATGTAATGACGAAACAAAGCATACGACAAACAAGTACATCTGTGTCTAGACAGCGTTTACAATGTTGAAAAAAATACTACAAAACTACTCCAGACTATTTTTCGCTTTTTCACATCTAAATGATTTTAATGTAATGCTACGCGCTTTACGTCATTTCTGACGGGAAATAAATGCGTATATATAAGTATATCTATCTACAGTAAGCATGTGCATGTTCTATACAAGTTACATACATACAGACATCTCATCATCTTGTGAAATAATACGTTAGATACAGTGGAGTCAATGCACTTGACGTTTACACATTCAGTTAACCGTTGTGATACAATATCTCCCATCCCCATGACAGGCTTGTAGAAATTAAGTGCACGTTCAGCAATAGACTGATTCATCCACGGTGCGACAGGGAGCGCTACAGGAGGTCATTCTTGCCTTCTGCCATAAGACTGTACAACGCATCCACCTTGCGTCTGGACAGAGGCAACATTGACAGTGACCTGTTTCTGGACTGAACGCATCTACACATCTACTGCTACATCTGTTCTCTTTCTTTTCCCGTTTACAGCCGTTTTTTGTGCAATATATGCCAGGGACCCGTGCAATACATTTATATCTATATCTATATTTACATCTTTATTTATATTCGTATGTGTGATACGATTTTTCTGCGTACTATTCTGTTCTAGTTTGTTCTTTGTGTGTCCGGACTGTGACTCTTTTAGTGCACCCCTCACTGTACTGATTGTATTGTATGTATTGTACTATTATTATTATTGTATCATTCGTTACACTGTGGCTGTGTTGTCTGTGTAAAGCTGCTGTTGCACTTCAATTTCCCTCACGGGATCAATAAAGTACGGTATATATCTATACTCTTGAAAGCCTTCTACCACATCCTTTATTATAAGCAGAGAAGAATATCATTTACGTATTTAAGTCAGCGGGATAAAGTATTGTGAAGAGTAGTCTTCCAACTCGGATTCAACTGTGACTCTGTGACTAACTTGGCGTGATTTTAAAGGCAAACCTGTCATTTTAATTTCAAGTGATTTATCAAACATTTAAATTGAACGAATCTCACTCTGTAATTGGTTAACTCAAAACAAAA